GTGTCCCTGCTGACCATGTCCCCTGCCTGTCCCCTCCCTGCAGAAGGACTGCACGCCCCGCTGCGAGTTTGACCAGTTCCAGTGCAAGAACGGGCACTGCATCCCCATGCGCTGGCGCTGCGACGCCGACGCCGACTGCATGGACGGCACCGACGAGGAGAACTGTGGCACCGGGGGTAATGGCAGAGCTGTGTGTCCCCTGGGGCTGCACATGTCACTCTCCGTGCCCTGGTGTCACCTGTGTCCTCACTGCGTGTCCCTGGGGTGGCTTGTGTCACCCCCTTCCTGCCATGGTGTCACCTGTGTCCTCACTGTGTGTCCCCCGGGGCTGCTCGTGTCACCCCCTTCCTGCCCTCGTGTCACCTGTGTCCTCACTGTGTGTCCCCGAGGTGGCTTGTGTCACCCCCTCCCTTCCCCTGGTGTCACCCGTGTCCTCACTGAGCACTGAGTGCTCCCGGGGTGGCTTGTGTCACCCCCTCCCTGCCTTGGTGTCACCTGTGTCCCCACTGCAGCACTGCATGTACCCTGGGGCTGCTCGTGTCACCCCCTCTCTGCCCTCATGTCACCCGTGTCCTCACTGCGTGTCTCCGGGGCTGCTCGTGTCACCCACTGCCTTCCCCGGTGTCACCTGTGTCCTCACTGCGTGTCCCCTGGGGCTGCTCATGTCACCCCCTCTCTGCCCCTGGCGTCACCCATGTCCTCACTGAGCACTGCGTGCCCCTGGGGTGGCTGGTGTCACTCCCTCCCTGCCCTGGTGTCACCTGTGTCCTCACTGTGTGTCCCCGGGGCTGCTCGTGTCACCCTCTCTGGGGTTGCTCGTGTCCTCCCCTCCCTGCCCTGGTGTCACCTGTGTCCTCACTGCGTGTCCCAGGGGCTGCTTGTATCACCCCCTCCCTGTCCTGGTGTCACCCGTGTTCCCTGGGCCTGCTCGTGTCACCCCCTCCCATCCCCAGTGTCACCTGTGTCCCCTCTGCGGGTGGGACACCTCTCTCCTGTGTGTGTGTCCACCCCTCTCTGCCCTACCCTTGAACATTCATGGACACACATCCCAGCCCTGCAAACCCCCCATCCCCGGACACCCCCCGGCCACGCTGGACATTGGAACAGCAGCCCCAGGCCGGGGTTTTGTCACTGAGCTGAGGTGTCCCCTCCTGTGCTGTCCCAGTTCGCACGTGTCCCCTGGACGAGTTCCAGTGCAACAACACCATGTGCAAACCCCTGGCCTGGAAGTGCGACGGCGAGGACGACTGCGGGGACAACTCGGATGAGAAYCCCGAGGAGTGCTGTGAGTGACACCGCGGTGCCTCTGCCCCAAACCCTCCCGTACCCGGGTGTGACGGGGCAATCCCGGGGCTCGGGCACCGCCGTGGGGACCGGAGGGGCTGGGAGGGACATTTGGGGGTGGCCAGCAGGGACAAGGGGCTGGAGGTGGCTTTATTGAGGAGGGACCAGCGGTGGGGAAGGGGCTGGAGGGGTCAGGGCCGGGCGAGGAGAGGGCTCACAGCAGCCGGGCGATTGTCTTTGCTTCAGTCTCTTTGCTTCAGCCTCCGGAGCGTGGGACATCCCTCCCCGGAGAGCGGGCAGAGGCCGAGCGGCGGCTCGTGACGAGCGTGACAGCCTGGCTACGGCGTCTCCTTTCACCGTCACCGTTTGTTTCTGTTTGCTGGTGCAGTGAAATTCCAGTGTCCCCCCAACAGACCGTTCCGCTGCAAGAACGACCGGGTATGTCTGTGGATCGGTCGACAGTGCGACGGGATTGACAACTGTGGAGATAACACGGATGAGAAGGATTGTGGTGAGTGGGGCCGCCCGTGGTCCTGTRGCCAAGGTGGCCGGTCAGCAGGTCACCGTGGTCATTGGGATGGTCCTGTCAAAGCCCAAGGCTCAGCCCAGATGTTGGGGTTGGGTTTGTCCAGTCTTTCCCCYCAAAAATCCTCCCAAAATCCAAAAAGTTAATAAAAATCTCACATTTTTGGAGGAGGCCTCCCCAAGAAATACTCCCAAAAAAAAATTGTAAAAATCCCATAAAAATACCAAAAAAATACCCCAAGAAATAGCCCAAAAAAATCCCACAAAAAATACCCCCCAAAAAATCCCAAAATTACCAAAAAAACCCCAAAAAATCCAAAATACACCCAAAAAATCTCCAAAAAATCGCAAAAATATTCAAAAATATTCAAAAAAATCCCAAAATATCCCAAAAATACCCAAAAAATTTTAAAAAAAAAATCTCCAGGTGCAGGGTCCTGAGTGCCTGGCTGCTCCCAGAGGGTCCTGTGGGAATGGGTGGCACATGGGTGGCACATGGGTGGCACATGGGGGACACGGGGGTCACAGCCACCACCCCTCACCCGCAGAGTCACCCACGGCCAAACCCAAGAGCTGCAGCCAGGACAAGAACGAATTTCTTTGTGGAAACAAGAAGTGCATCAGCGCCAACCTCCGCTGCGACTTCTTCGATGACTGCGGCGATGGTTCCGACGAGGAATCCTGCTCCCACGGTGGGTGGAGAGCCGGGGGCCGGGTGGGCACCAGGGAACACGTAGTGACACACATGTGACAATGTCGTGTGTCCCCATGCAGAGCACAAATCATATGACTGCATGACCAACACCACCATGTGCGGGGACGAGGCCCAATGCGTTCAATCTCAGTCCACCTCGTACTGCACCTGCCGCAGAGGCTTCCAGAAGGTGCCGGACAAGAATTTCTGCCAAGGTATGTCCCTCTGCTGCTCAGGGATYGGATTGTGGGGTTTGGCTTTGGTTTTTGCAAGCGGGATGGGATTTTGGGCTGGGGYGGCAGGAATGGTGTCCTTGGGGTAGAGTTGGGGTCTGTGGGGGTACTCTTGGGGTCTCCCTCTGATCCCATCTCCCTCTGTCCAGACATCAACGAGTGCCTGCGCTTTGGGACCTGCTCCCAGCTCTGCAACAACACCAAGGGCTCCCACGTCTGCAGCTGTGCCAAGAACTTCATGAAGACAGAGAACATGTGCAAGGCGGAAGGTCAGGAGGGAACAGGGACCCACACGGGTTTTGTGTGCCCAGAACCACCCCCACATGCCTTGGGGCTCCTTTGCTCTTCCCTCCATCCCCCTGCAGCTCTGCCCACACTCCTGGCACTGCCACTGCCGTCAGTTTGTCTGTCCCGGGCACAGTGAGCCCCAAGGTGGTAATGAGCTACCCGTGATTTTGTCCCTGTCCCAGTGGGGAGATGAGCTGAGCCCCCACTCCTGGCTGAGCCCCTGGTCCTGACTGAGCCCCCACGCCTGAAAGAGCCCCCACTCCGGGCTGATCCCCCACTTTGGGCTGAGCCCCTGGTCCTGGCTGAGCCCCCACTCCCAGCTGAACCCCCACTCCTGGTTGAGCCCCCACTCCTGGCTGAACCCCTGCTCCTGGCTGAGCTCCTGATCCCAACTGAGCCCCCACTCCCAGCTGAGCCCCCACCTCTGGTTGAGCCCCGCCTCTGGGCTGAGCCCCCACTCCCAGCTGAGTTCCCACTCTGGTTTGAGCCCCTGATCCCGACTGAGCCCCCACTCCTCACTGAACCCCCACTCCCAACTGAGCCCCCACTCCTGACTGAGTTCTCACTCCTCAGTGAGCCCCCACTCCTTAAAGTGCCCCTGGTTCCAGCTGAACCCCCATTCTGGACTGAGCCCTTGGTCCTGACTGAGCCCCCACTCCTGGCTGAGCCCCCACTCCTGACTGAGCCCCCACTCCCATCCAGCCCATGCCAACCTCTCCTTTTCCTCCTCTTCCTCCTCCTCCTCCTCTGCAGGCTCCGAGCACCAGATCCTCTACATCGCGGACGACAACAAGATCCGGAGCATGTACCCCTTCAACCCCAACTCCGCCTACGAGCCGGCCTTCCAGGGCGACGAGAACGTGCGCATCGACGCCATGGACATCTACGTCAAGGGCAACAAGATCTACTGGACCAACTGGCACACGGGCAGGATCTCGTACCGGGAGCTGCCCGCCTCGTCCTCCGCCTCCACCGCCTCCAACCGCAACCGGCGACAGATCGATGGTGGTGTCACCCACCTGAACGTGAGCGAGCTTTGCCGGGATGCAAAACAAGCGATGGGGACGGGCTGGGGGTGTCCTCCCCCTCAACCATCCCCATTTTGCCCTGCACAGATCTCAGGGTTGAAGATGCCGCGGGGAATCGCCATCGATTGGGTGGCTGGGAATATCTACTGGACAGACTCAGGGCGGGATGTCATTGAGGTGGCGCAGATGAAGGGCGAGAACCGCAAGACGCTGATTTCGGGGATGATCGACGAGCCCCACGCCATYGTGGTTGACCCTCTGAGGGGGTGAGAGGCTTGAGGCTTCATCCCATCCCTCTGTCCAGCCCTCACCCTGCTCCCCTCACCACAAACCCACCCGTGGTGGCAGCTCCCCATGTCCCAGTGTCACTCTGGGTGTCTGCTTGAGTTGCCCCAGAGTTACCTGGTGACTCCATGAGGACAAGGTGGGAGGGTTTGTCCTCCAACTGACCACTGGGCTGTCCAGTTCCCTTGGGAATGAGCTGCCTGTGTCCTTGCAGAACGATGTACTGGTCAGACTGGGGCAACCACCCCAAAATTGAGACGGCTGCCATGGATGGGACACTGCGGGAAACCCTGGTGCAGGACAACATCCAGTGGCCAACAGGTGAGAGAGGTGACAGGAGGAGCATGAGTGGACAAAAACACTGCAAAAAGCACCCCCAGCACTGGGAAGGRGCACCCCAACATTGGGMTGAGCACCCCCARCACTGGGATGGGTGAACCTGRCATGCACATGATGGGGACATGCACAACCCATTTTTTGTTGTTCTGGGGGCTCGGAGCCCCACAACAGGGGGGTGTAGGGGTGGTGGGGCTGCTCCGTGGATCAGTTGGTCAGGAGGGGCTTGGGGTGGGCTGGGGGCTCACTGGGGGCTGTGTCCCCTCAGGTCTGGCYGTGGATTACCACAACGAGAGGTTGTACTGGGCCGACGCCAAGCTCTCCGTCATCGGCAGCATCCGGCTCAACGGCACCGACCCCGTCGTGGCCATCGACAACAAGAAAGGTAAGGGGCACCCCGTGGGGGTCCCCAACTTTGGACCCACCCCAAATCCCTCCCTCCACATGTCCCCTGCTGGTTTCCCCAGGGCTGAGCCACCCGTTCAGCATCGACATCTTCGAGGATTACATCTACGGCGTCACCTACATCAACAACCGCATCTTCAAGATCCACAAGTTCGGGCACAAAGCCGTCACCAACCTGACGTCCGGCCTCAACCACGCCACCGACGTGGTGCTCTACCATCAGTACAAGCAGCCAGAGGGTGAGTGTGGGCCCGGGACCCCCACCCTGATCCTGGGGGTCAAAGGGAGCGAGGGGAGCGTTGGAAGAGCTTGGGAAGAGGGGACACAGCCCCCCAAAGGGGAGGGGTGTGGGTGGGCAGAGCATGGGGTTGGTGGGTTGGGTTGGTGGGGTGGGGCAGTCCAGCTGCAGTGGTCAGTTGGTGACCTCGGGGCTTGGGGGAGTCAGCACAGGGCCACAGGGGCTTGTCCTGAAGGTGTGGAGCAAGAAGGGCTGTGTGTCACTGTGCTGTCACCACCCTGCTGTCACCACCCCGCTGTCCTCACCACCCTGTGCCCTCCCCTCCCGCAGTGACCAACCCGTGTGACCGCAAGAAGTGCGAGTGGCTCTGCCTGCTCAGCCCCAGCGGCCCCGTGTGCACCTGCCCCAACGGCAAACGCCTGGACAACGGCACCTGCGTGGTCATCCCCTCGCCCACCGTGTCCCCTGTTGGTAGGTGACACTGGAGAGGGGAGGAGGAGGATGGGGATGATGAGGGGAGGAAGATGAGGATGGGGATGGGGATGAGGAGGGGAAGAGGATGAGGAAGGGGATGAGGATGAGAATGAGGACAAGGACGAGGACGAGGACGAGGATGCGGATGAGGATGAGGATGAAGATGGAGATGAGGAGGAGGATGAAGATGAGGATGCAGATGACAATTACAATGATGATGAGGATGATAATGAGGATGGGGACTGGGGTCAGGATGAAGATGAGGATGAGGTTGAGGATGAGGATGAGGATGAGGAGGGAGGTCAGGATGAGGATGAGAATGGGGGTCAGGATGAGGATGGGGGTCAGGATGAGGATGAGGAGGGAGATGAGGACGAGGGCGAGGACGAGGATGAGAATAGGGGTGAGGATGAGGATGAGGAGGAGGAGGAGGACGAGGATGAGGACGAGGACGAGGGCGAGGACGAAGACGAGGACGAGGACGAGGACGAGGACGAGGATGAGGATGAGGATGAGGATGAGGATGAGGATGAGGATGAGGACAAAAATGAGGATGAGAATGAGGATGAAGATGAGGATGAGGACGAGGATGAGGACGAAGATGAACATGTCCTGCCAGCATTTTCCCCCTCAACTCCACGCCCCCCATCCCTCCCTCTCAGTGCCCACCACCGACACGTGTGACCTGGTGTGCCTGAATGGCGGCAGCTGCTTCCTCAACGCCCGCAAGCAGGCCAAGTGCCGCTGCCAGCCCCGCTACAACGGTGACAAATGCCAGATCGACCAGTGCTGGGACTACTGCCAGAACGGGGGCACCTGCGCCGCCTCGCCCTCAGGTGGGTCATGCCTGATCCCGGACAGACGGACAAATGATGGACAGATGGACGCCGAGCTAACAAGATTTTAACCCTAGGAATGCCGACGTGCCGCTGCCCCACCGGATTCACCGGGCCCCGTTGCAACCAGCAGGTGTGCACGGATTATTGCCAGCACAACGGCAGCTGCACCGTCAACCAGGGCAACCAGCCCACCTGCCGCTGCTTGCCCACCTTCATCGGGGACCGCTGCCAGTACCGTGAGTGACCCCGCGGGCTGGGGATGGCAACGGGGGCGTCGTGGCACTCACCTTGGGGACAGCAGTGGGGGTGTCAGGAGGATGGGTGTCCCCCAACTGGGGATGTCTGGGGATGGCAGTAGGGATCACCAATCCTGGGGATGCTTGGGGACAACAATGGGGACATCAGGAGGATGGGTGTCCATCATTTGGGAATGTTTAGGGACAATAGCAAGGGGTCAGGAAGATTGGTGTCCATCACTTGGGGATGTTTGGGGACAGCAGTGGGGGTGTCAGGAGGATGGATGTCACTCATTTGGGGATGCGTGGGGACAGCAATGGGGACATCGGGAGGATGGGTGTCCCTCAGCTGGAGATATCTGGGGTTGGCAGTGGGGATTGGGAGGATGGGTGTTACCCAACTGGGGATGCCTGGGGACAACAATGGGGACATCGAGAGGATGGGTGTCCCTCCACTGGAGATGTTTGGGGACAGTAGCAGGAGGTCAGAAGAAAGGGTGTCCCTCACCTCCTCACCTGGGGATGCTTGGGGACATCAGTGGGGGTGTCAAGAGGATGGGTGTCCCCACCTGAGGGTGTTTGGGGACATCTGGGGACAGTGCTAGAGGGACTGGGCTCCCAAGTCTCCCTCTTTTGGGGGACGTTCTGTGGGAATCCTTTGGGACACCATCAGGGGGTTGGGCTCCCTGGTCCCATTCCTTTGGAGCTCCTTGGGGACCTCTGGGGACCCATGGGATTGAATTCCCAGCTCCCCCTCTTTTGGGGGACGCTGTGTGGGGTCTGTGGCGCTCCACGGGGGAGACAGGGACGCACAAATTTGTGGCCTCGTGCGGGACAGGGACCCACAAATTTGTGGCCTCGGGTTGGTGGGACCCACAAATTTGTGGTGGAGGGGGGACAGGGACCCACAGATTTGTGGCTTTGGGAGACAGGAACCCACAAATCTGTGTTGGAGGGGGGAGAGAGATCCACAAATTTGTGGCAGAGGCAGGACAGGGACACAAAAAAATTTGTGGCCGATGGAGAGGGACAGGAACCCACAAATTTGTTGCCTTGGGGTGGAGGGACCCACAAGTTTATGGTGGAGGGGGGACAGGGACACAAAAAATTTATGGCCGATGGAGAGGGACAGAAACCCACAAATTTGTGGCCAAAGGAGGACAGAGCAGCAGTTGGGGGGCTGCCCACCCTGACCCCCCTCATCCCTCACAGGGCAATGCTTTGACTACTGCGAGAACGACGGCGTGTGCCAGATGACGGCCAGCGGTGCCAAGCAGTGCCGCTGCCCACCTCAGTTCGAGGGYGCCCAGTGCCAGGACAACAAATGCTCCCGCTGCCAGGAGGGCAAGTGCAGCATCAACAAGCAGAGCGGGGAGGTGTCCTGCATGTAGGTGTTGGGAATGTCCACCCCAAAWGGGGAAAAGGGGTGGTGGGCACGGAGACCCCGCAGAAAACCCCGTCCCTGTGAGGCAGCACCGGCCACAGATGGGGGTGGGATTCAGGGTGGATAAACCCAGGGGGTGCTGGTGGTTCTGGGAGGAGGGGTGGAGGTGTCTTGGTGTCCCCAGAAAGTCAGTGTGGTGT